TTTTGGCAATAGCCATTCTAATTAAATATAATATCATCTTTGAATGAATTTCTAGTTTTTTTAGTGATATAAGAGTATATTGAGGATTTTTTTTTTTTGAGATTCATATCCTTGACAGTGACTTTCTAGTTCTTTTGAGTGACAAAAGAGTATATTAAGGATTTTTTTTCTTTACAATTATGTCTTTAACATATTATATTTTTGTGAAGTCTTTTTTTAAATAAATGTTATGTTAAATTTTAATATTTTTTTTATATAAATTAATTATCAGATTATATATTTTTCAACCACAAAATCTTTTTTGTTTTTTTTATATGCACGCAATATAACATCTTAATAGTATGATTTTTTATTCTTTCAAAATTCTTACTAAAATTGCTTTGAAAAGGCTCCAAGGGAAGTTTATCTCAATGCTTGTTAATTAATTCTTAGCCTTAGGCAAATGTTGGACCCAAACAAAGAGAATAATAAAATTTTAGAACCAAGCTTTTATATAATTATAGATTCTATTACTAGATGGATATGATGTGAAGGCACAAATTTAATCACTAATAATTACAAAAAATAATGGTGGTTGATTATTTAAATTTTTTCATAAGATATTTTGGTTTAGATATTAAATACTAAATCAAAGAGTGACTTACATTAGCTAAGGCTAAAGCCAAACTCCATTAATTCAAATCTTAATACAAAGAGTTTTACTACCATCAAGAACAAGAAAATAAAGGTTTAAAACAAAGCGATAAAACAATACATTGAGAAACCAACTCCTATTATAATTTCAACTCCTTCCAAATTTTTTTCATAATGAATTTATATTATTATAAAAATATTCAAGACTTCTTAGCATCCAAGGTAAATAAAATTCAAGAAAGAAAAAATTTCATTAATTGGAATAATAGTTTGATGAAAATTTTGTAGATAAAAAGTAACATCAAAATCAAATTTTTTTCTATGAGTAAAAACAAAAACCTTCATAATGTATGAGAAGATCATATCATGGAGGGAACCTTAAGATTGATGTTACTACTAATATAGAGCTAGAGGTTATTTTAAGCCTTATATATATTCTTACAATTCTAGAATTTCTAGATGATACAATAGTGAGCCATGCTTCTCTTTTAATCCAATAATCCAATTTGTCTTTAGTAAAGACCCTTGCATGTACTATCTTGATTGATAAAGCACAAGCTATAACAGATATTGCAAAGAATCTAAAGTTGGATTATTATAGGCTTTACCTATTTATTATTAAAAAATTAATTAATTCAATAACATATTAATTGTAATTACTACAAACAATGAAGATTTATCACGTATTTTATATTTTTTTTATTAAGTTTTATACAACTATCAATATATTGAGAAGAAAGCAATCACCACTATATTTTGTCAAAATAGATAATAACTAAGAGCTTGAAGTGGAAGAAGTCTTGGATTTAAGGCAGTAAAAAATATATATATATAATATCTCTTACATTGGAGTGGATATGATAATAATAAATGCAAAAAGGAGTAATGTGAGAATTTGATAAATGTGTCAAAATTTGTCTCTATTTTTCATCTATTACATCAATCAAAAATAAAGACTAATTAATGAAAAAAATTGCATAAATCAAAGAAAAAAAAAATTAAGAATAAAATTATAAAATTTCTTTGCAAATATCAAGGATCAACAACTAATAGATTTGTTTCAATAGTTTTTATTTACAAAATCATTAGATGAAGTATTTAGATTGTCTCAACTTAGACAATGTTATAATTTTGATGAAGATCTTCAAAAAATACATATTCTTCTTTGAATAGATGGCAAGATATAACGTGTTTGGTACCTCAATCTTAGAAGAGACTTTTAATGTTTATTAATATTGTTGGAAATAGACACTATAGCTAATAGAATGCAAAATGTATTATTTCAAGGTAGCTAAGATCTCTTGAATAATAATCAAGTAACTAAGTTGTTTTCTTATCTCCGTATGGAATACTATTGATGGTTAAAAGAACCTACCAACCACCTTTGTACATAACAAAGATTAGAATTTTTTGCAAATATTATTTGAAAGATCTTTGACTTTATCAACTTTAGAAGCATTAATATACCTCCTTGTAGAACTTTTTACTTAAAAATAAAAGAAAGCAGGAAGGGATAATATAAAAAGTTTTTGTATTTATTAATATATTTTTTTACAACAAGTAGAATTAAGTGGAAATAAATAGTAGTAGGTTAAATTCTTAATATATTTTCATAGAACTTTGTAGAAGCTTTGTAAGCTTTACACATATTTATAAGTGATTGATAGGTCAAAAATTTAGATAATAAGTTGATTACATGTTGTACATTTAGCCACTTATATTATAAGTTGGCTATATGGCGCATATGTCAAGAATTTTCCCTACAAACTAAACACATGTTATGTAAGTTGGACATGTATTACATGGAGGTAAGAGTGATGATTTTAGTAGATAGTATATATTGAGGCAAGAATGAAGCCTTTTTTATTCTTTTCAATGTTTTTCTTGTGTTCTATCTTATTTCAAGACTTCTTAGTCTTTTTGCATTTGATAATAGTCATTTCAGTTTTAACTCTATATCTATCTTTTAATTATCTACTTTGTCTCTTTTGATGATATAAGGGTGTATTGTCATTTTTAGAATTTTATTGTGGTTTATATCTTTGATAAGAATAGATTCTTATAATAAGATCCAATATTTTTAATTGTTTACACTCATCTTGATTCATTTGAAGGAACTTCTTTATGATCAAATTATAATAAATTAAATAAATTTCTATAAAATCCTCGCAACTTATTGTTTTTGAAGTAGCTTTAAAAAGTATAAAATATCTTATAATGATAGTAATAGATATTTATGGATGGTTTGATACATTTTTATTTATAAACATTAAAATTACCTTCTTCAATATGATAGAGATGGATCTAAGGATTAGAGTTGGGTTAGGATTTATACATTATTAAACAATCAACAACTATTAGTAGTCTTTAAATTTTCAACAAAGTGCAAAGGAATAGAAGAAGATAATTGATTTATAGTCCTACATCCAATTAAAATTTAAGGATTCTAAATTAAGATTCAATCTATAAATCTATATTATAATAAAATTATAATATAGATTTATAATCTTATATCATCAATCTATTTTATAGTCTAGTAAGTAAGTTTATCTTTGATCTTAATTTGTATTCATTGTCATTAAGAAATAATTTAATAAAATACTCTACTAATTTATAAGAAAACTTTTACAAAAAAAATCTTTCACTCTCAACCCAATCTCACAAAAGTGGAATATGTTGCTTGACCAATTTTGATATATATATATATATATATATATATATATATATATAATAAAATGAGGTCTAGGCTCAATCCACTTTTATAAATAAGCTATATTTATCTAGCTTATAAAGCACTCAGGTGTTGTTGAACATACAAAAAAAGTTAGTCCATTTATCAAAATGAAATGTGTTATTTGTTCATTACAAAAGATTGAATCAATTAAATATTAATTCTTAAAATATCCACAAGTTCTAAAAACCTATAATTGCTTTATATATCTTTTATATAAATTAACTTCAAATCATTGGAAATGGAGACCATAGAAGGCATTCTCATGAAAAGTAGCCATATACATAGATAAAATCTCTTCAAAATTCAAATGTTATCAAAAAATTGATCATCACCTTGAAGTCTTTGCTTGGGGACAATTTGAATTCAAAGAAATAAGTTTGTATTTAAATAGGAAGTATGAAGTGACCTCTATACTATAAAAACAATCAAAAAAGTTCTCATAGATTATGGAATGCTTTGTTGGAAATTCTTACAAATAAAAAATATACAAATGTATAAAATAAGAGCTGACTTTTAAAAAGATGAGATAAGTCTTAGATGGCAAAACAAATATTAAATATTAGAACAAACATGGTGATTAATCGAAGCTCTAGAATACCACAAAGTAGGTCAATAATACAAAAGAATGTGTTAAGAAGTAAGTGTATTTATTTCAAGTTGTATTTATCACTTTGCCCAATTTGATATTTTAGATTAAGCTAATTTTTGTGTGTTCACCTCATCAATATTTTGGATATATTCCATTTTTTTATCAAAAAAGAATTACATGCATATATACAATTAGGATTGAAACACCTAATGTTGCATTTAAATCCAAAACTTACAAAATTCAAGCAACATAATAGAAATTACAAAGTTATTACTAAGTATCATTGTATGAATGTCAGTTGATTAGCATCAACTCAACTTTTGCAAAATACACAACCAAGCTACTTTTAGAACATAACTATATTGAAAAAAAAAAAAAAAAAAAAAAAAAAAAAACACTCAGCTAATTTATTCATGGTCATCTTCAGAAACCTTAAGCTTTGCCATATGAGTAGGTGGAGTGAGGTCTACCGAAACCTCTTTGTAATGGTCATTGACTTGAAATGACTACGAAGAGTTATCCAGAAAATAGTCGCTTCTGACATCATCAGCATAAAGATGGAGTTTTGAATAAAAAAATTGTTCGTTAAGAGAATCCATTATCCTGTTTGGTGCGGCGTCATTAGCTGAGAATCTGCTATTTCTATTTCCAAGAATAACCGAAATACGATCCGCGAGCATAGACATCCAACAACTTCCTAACCCAGCAATGTGATTTTTTCTTCCTCAATTCTTCATACTTTGCCATAATTTCACAGGAAATTCAGTAAAATTTTCAGCTGGAATACTTCATATTAAATGAGCGTCAGCCACAAACTTCACAAAGCAATGACGCCTACCTTATATCTGTGATCAACACCATTTCAAAGTACAAGTGTTATCTAAAATTAGTTTAAACTCGTGTATCGATAATTACTACTAGGCAAAGAAGCGTGTTCGTCACGGTGCACACATGTTAAAAGCACTGACACGATGCAACTGGTCATGTCAACAAATACCAGACACTCTCAAAGTAGAGACAGAATCCAAATTAAGACAACCAACAACCGTTCAAAGAACAGCGAGCTCAACAGGAAATACATTGATCGAAGACCAAAGTCGACATCACAATGCTCCAGTAAATCATTGGAAAGGAAGCCAATTTAAATTAGGCTACAGTACTTCTGAGTCCTTCATAGTGCATCTTAGCTGTACAAATAACTTGATATGCTCACACTAACAAGAGAGCTGTACAACAACGCCACGAATAAGCAGGAAAAAGAACCTAGGATAGAGGATGACGAAAAAACAACATAATGCTATCAACAGAACCGAAGCTAAAGGCGCATGGTGCACAGGGGTCCAGCCTTAACATGAGATATACGCAGGGTTTACGCCACATTTTTTAAAAAAATACGCGGATCATGTTCTCAGTGTTCACCTCTCACACCAGTGCCAGACAACCTAAATCTAGCACATACACGTAGCCACATAAACAGCTTCTCCAGCTAGCTAGCTTTTTCACTAGTCTAGTCCGAAGACTTAATATTCTTTAACTGAGTGCTGAGCTGCTCCATCTTCACCATCATCGCGGTCACGCGGTACAAGGTCCAATACAGCAACAAAGCTCCAGCAACGAGAATCGCATTCCGCTGGCTCTTCATTAACGACTTGGACGCGCGATCCCTCTCCATCGGACCACACCGGGGACCGGTGCACTCCGGCATGTGCTCAAATTTCCAGTAAATTTCGAGTGCCAAGAAGAGCGCCAGCGGCACCACGGCGAGCAATGGCTGGAGCGCCATTCTAGACACGGAAATCAATCCTCTCCGCATACCTCCCAATCCAGGCATCGTCAGAAGCAACAAAATCAACGCCTCCACGGCCGTGACGACTCCCAACGCAGCCCATTCCAGCGCCATGGTTTCAAACTACACCCCCCTTTCTTCCAAACCCTACAACGTCCGCTTCTCTCCACCAAATCCAACACCACAAACACCAATCTCTCTCTCTCTCTCTCTCTCTCTCTCTCTCCTTGAACCGCAAAATTTCAAGTCCTTAAATCCTCGAAACCACATACACCGACAGAGGCATACCTAAAACTCCGATCGCGAAGTAATATCACAACATGCTTCCGAAACCCTTGTAATGCAGCCACGACTCGTTCAACTGGTTACCGGCATTAACAGGTCATTACCGCGAAGCGAACACTGGATTCTCTGATCTAGACCGGTGATGAAGGGTTTCCGGGAGTGCCGGGGGTCGAGAGCGACAGGCAATAGCAAGTAGAAGGATAACCAGGTGGGAAGGTGAAGTGGCGAGTGTCGATGTCGACACGCGTTCCCCGACATTTTATTGACATTTTATTTATTTATTTTACAAAATAAATTTTAGATAAAGATTAAAAAAATAATAATAAAAAAAAAACTTTAAAATAAATTACAAAGAAGTAAAACACAAAAAAAAAAAAAAAGTAGTTCATCATACCAATTATTTCTTTAGATCAAGGATTGCATGACAATGTTTATTATTTATTTTATAATCATTTCATATATCTTTGTTAAAATATTTGTTTATTTTCACAAGTTTTGGTATTATACTAATTATCTTAAATTTTTGATTATTCTTAGATTATATGTATGAATATCTCTCTCTCTATATATATATATATATAAATTACATATATTTATTACACTAACCAAAGTAATACTTAAATTTAGTATCATAAAAAAATATGTATACCTCAATAATAGTGTTATATTAAAAATATTTTTTTCATAGAAATTTAATTTTTTTTATTTTATTTATCTTTTTGTAAATACTATCTTTAATTTACTCTACTGAATAATACTTATACATGTTTAGAAAAGAATCACAAATGAACTATATTCTAATTACAAAAATAATCTTTAAAAGTTTTCAATTATTTTTTGGTAGCTTTTGCTCAACCAAGACAATTCATCACCAAGGTATAAAGATGATACATTTTTTATTTTTTTAAAATCAAATTTGTCAATTTTTGGTATGATTTTAAGGATGAAAAATATTAGATATATGTGAGTATACTTTTTGAAACTTTTTATGTTGCATGTATAATTAGTAATAAAGTAAAAAATGTGGAATAATAAGGTATCAGAATAAATATTACTAATTATATATAATTAGAATTTTAGACCAAAATTAGAATACAAAAAGCATTGATGAGATTGAAGATAGCCTCTACCTTATTACTCTATAGACTAATAATGAAAATGAAATGTAAAAAACTTACTAAAAGACCACAAAGTTTATAAGTTAAGTGTATAATTTATGCAATACTTCTATTCTGGGTTTTTAGATTTAGAACATATTACAGAGAATTGTTTTGGATAACATAGAATGTAAAAGGACGCTAAACACAACTTATGTTTATGAAACCTCTACCATATATCACTAAAAATTAAATTCACATTGACGTTGATTTCGATTTTTTCCTACTTTTCTTCACTTCTAAATCTCTTAAAAAGTTAATTATTGGAACATCAAGCACAATTACTTGTTATGTTTAAAGAATAATAAAAATATTTATATTTTGATGGACTATAATAAAAATAATAAAAAAAAACAATCTGTTAACTTTACTTGAATTCTTAAATTTAAACATCAAAACTAAAATCACATAAAGTTTGTTGAATTGTTTTTAATAAGTTTCATTATTTATTGTTTATCGTTTATTAAAATTTTGACTTTAATTTTATAAATTTTTTAATCTAGATATAAAAATTTGAAAGTAAATTTTGTTAAATTATTTTCTTAACACTTGTTTTCATAGTTTGTATAAAACAAATTAGATATTAAAAACTGTAATTAATTTTATAATCTGCTTCTTTATTTATTTATTTATTTATTTATTTTGATAATTTTCAAGTTATTTTGATGTATTACCACACATATAAACTTATTTTATTTTCATTTTTTAATTAATTAATTGTTTCAAAAAAATAGATTAGTTAAATTATCAAATTTGACACATAATGTTAGTTATATAATCTAAAATATTCAACAATTCTATTTCTTTTTTTCTCTCTCTCTCTCTCTCTCTATATATATATATATATATATATATATATGAGATTTACATAATATAATGTATTATCACAATTTTAAAATTATTCTCAGATGTAGATGTTAAAGTTTGTTTTTGCAACATATCATGTTATAAAACAAATTATCAAAATGATTATTATATTTATCTTGAAGTATTTTAATACAAAATATTTTACAAATCTCTTCAGAATTTGTCACATTGCAATTCATTAAAATAAAAAATAAAAAAAATTTCTAGCATTCATTTATATATTATATTAGTCTTAATCTAAAATCCGCTAGACTAATATTTGTATTACCATAGTTGTTGCTGCAACTCAATTAAAATACAACATTTCTTACTCCAATGGTATTTTCAATGCTACAATCAATTATATTTACAATCCTATTTATTTCACCTTTCAAATTGCTATAGAATTTTTGCACACATGCATACACTATTATAGAAGGCTTTCTTTTAAAATTAATATTGCATAATTATATGATATCTGGTTTAATCTTTTTTATGAAAAATATAATATATAAATGAATGCTAGAAAATTGCAACAATATTAAAACACCTCTTTTAGAAGCAAAAAAAACTCAACCTAAGAGTTATTAAAATTAATAATAATAAACAACTTCTATAACAAAACTTGACTTGATATTGTAAACTAGAACCTTTCAAAATTATAAACAACTCCAATATCTTAATACATATAAATAAATTTATTTCATTGAAGATATTATTAAATTTTGTTTAAATTAATCTTTCTAAAATATACTATAAAAAGTTTATAAAAGAAAAATTCTTAATTTTTTTTGTTTGTCCAATACAAACATAAAGATAGAAAAAAGTCTTTAGATTCACATTCTAAAAACATATGTATAGATTTTTTCCATGTATTATGTTTTAGGTTATTTCGTAATATTTTCATTATTAAAATTTGACTCAATAGACAATGTAGATAAAAAATATCTAAAACTTGGAAAAAGAAAAACATAGTTTTATTTATTATAGTATTAATAAAATATTATTATTTATTGATTAAATTAGTGATTAAATTAACACTTGAAATTTGCTACCACAATATTCTAATTATGATACTATGATTTGTATCAACTATCTATATCTCTAAACAATTTGCATTAAAAACCACAGTAGTAGAATAATAATTCAAAATCACACAATTGATTACAATATTATAAATATAGCAATATAGTGTTGAGAATGTGATGTTTTGAAGAAATTATTTTTTAATATTTTTTATTATATGTAAATGACTTATATATAATTATATTAGATAAAAATACATTTATTTAAATATGTTTATATATTTAAAAAATAAATAAGCAAGAAAATAAATAAAATAAGTATTACTAAAATGTTTGTATGTTTTTTTAGTCTTTAAGAGTGGATAACAAACAACAATCGCCCTTACTGATGATTGTTTTATCATAAATTTAGATTTTTTAGATCTTATATATTAAGATATTTGAAATAATAATTATATTTTTTTTTTGAAAAAAATAAAAATATTTTGGGTTTAAAAATAAACAAAGATAAAAATATTTATAATTATGATTTATTAAATTTGAAATCATTCTTAATAGTGTTTTTGGTAGAATAATTTTGAATTAAATTAGAATAGTATTTCTTAATTAAAATAATTAAACTATCTTAAAACACATTCATAACAATATGGTAATTTTTGTAAATCAAAGAATTCATTTTTTATATTTCTATGATACAAGAAAAAGACTTTTTAAGTGTCACAACAACAAACCACAAATATATATATATATGTAGCAACTAAGCAAGATTTATTTTGCAAATATGATTTAAGAATTCTTATGAGTACTTACATTAGAATAAAGAGAATATGTTTTATAATTTTTGTAGTTCTAATAGTAGTGATGTTATAACAATTAAGTGCCTATAATTAGTTTTAAATCTTTCTTTAGTCAATAAATTTCTAAAACATTAACACTTAAATATTTTCTTTTAGTTTAATTAAAATAATTCAAAGCTTTTGGATTGATTTATATGTTATTAAATTAATCTCACAACTTAAGAAGAATTTTTGGTTTATAACATAATTTAATTTTTTTTGCATCATTTATATTTTATGTTCAACTAATAAGTTAGATATTTGAACACCTTTTTTTATGCATTTGCTTCTTATTGGACACAATTTTTATATATATATATATATATATATATATATAACAATTAGATAGTAGATAGACTTTTTAAGACTATTTTTTTCTTGTATAAAAAATTAGTCAAATTTATAATGTTTTTGTTGTGGTCTAATTTTTATAATTAACTATATTTTATTTAATTTAATTTTATAATATAGATTGCAATATAAAAATTAGTAGAATTACACACTTTTATAAAAAAGTCTATTGCAACTTCAAGATAGGTGGTAACTATGGAATATTTAACATATATTTAAAATTATAAGTGCATCGATAATAAATATGTAAATTTCAGATTTTATACACCTAAATATGTGTAAAAATATAAAATCTACTTCTAAATCAGATAAAGATAATATAAATGTGTATCATATATTGATCAATAGCTTTCACCACTATTAGATTTTGTTACTATTAAAAGTTGTATATTAATAATTATATACTATGTATTTTTTATATAAGTCCATTAGAGACTTATAAAACAAATGAATCAAAGAAATTATGTAATATTTTTACAAAATATCTATTTTTGGTATTATGAAGTTTCATACGTATAACATACCATAAAAATAAATCAAATTTATTGATATCTTGATAAAAATAATAATCAATTTTTTTAAAGATTATTAATCAATTAACATATATATATATATATATAAATATATAATTATTTTAAAGCAAAAATCTTATAAAACATAAATAAAATTATCATTTTATTAAAATAATTAATATATTAAAATGAATATTTAAATTAGTGTGTAAAAAACCATCTTTCAAGGAAATGAATCTCAAAGAAAGAAAATCCTCAATACACTCTTGTATTTTTTGAAAGGAATTAGAAAAACACTCAAAGATGATATAATATTAAACAAAAATGGCTATTGCCAAGAACAATAAGATTAAAAAGTCTTGAAACAAGACTAAGGACTAGAAAGGCATTGACAAGAGTGAAGAAGGCTTCACTCTTACCTCGATATATATTCTTAACTAGGAGCTACATGACAATGTCCTATAAGACTTCCAAAACGTGTTGACTTTGTAAGACACAAATCTAAACTTGTTATCTTAATTAACACACATACACACACCCAAGTCAACTTATAACAACAACAACAACCAACTAAGAATACAAGTACATTCTCTTTGAAATGCAAACCATTCACACTCCTCAATTTTTTCTTCTCATACAAAACAGCAACAATCTTTTGAAGGAATCCCTAAAAGTTGCTTTGTGCTATTTGCGGTATGCATATTGGCGCAGTGTCAGAGTTTCTGAGGGTGGTGGTGATGGATGGTCGGCCATAGCCCGTTTCTGGCCGGTGCTTGTGCATGCCCAAATGGCTTTGCGTCGGACATGGCAATATTTGAAATTGTAACACAGACCTAAATCAGTTTCTAGGATCTCATCTGACAGTCAATGTGTGGAGGTTTTTAGACGATTTTTTCTGTTTCAGTGTGCGAAGAATCCTCGAACAGGTCGATCAGGTCCTGCTGGGTGAGTGAGTGGGTCCGGATCGTGTTGTCGATAGCATGGCAGCTGGCCGTGGCGGCTCAGTAAAATACGGCAAAAGAATACCGTTTGTGATCCGGTTTTCCGGATTCTGCTAAGTATTCACAACGGTCGCGGGATGGATTCGTCATTGTCAATATCTGGACGTTGGCGATCGTTATGATGCCTCCCTCTCTATCGTGCTAACTCTCACTTTTGTTACGAGTTCTTACTCAGTGTCGACCATTTCTAGCGCGATCAGGAAGTTCCTGTAAAGTGTTGGTGTTACATGTTAGTGTTGCGTGGATTGACGCCCTCATTGCGTGTTTTCTGTCTGCCATCGTGGTCGTGATCCCCTTCAATTGTGTGACACGTTGTTGGGAACTCATTCTGGCGCAGCTCGCTAGGCTTGGTAGTGGTGTCTGTAATCTTGTAGCTTGAGGGAGTGATAGAGGTAGTGAGACGGTGGCTTTGAGTTGCAGGTGCCGGTCATTTTACCATGCACAGTGTCGTCAGAAGTTGACCGAGCCAAAGACGCACATGTGTGCTCTCTACTTGTTTCGATCTTCGACGTGTACTCCAGGCCCCGGGTCTTGCGACGTCTGCTCTCGATCATCTCGTTCGAGAATTACTAGTCAGGTACTTTGGAACCCCAACACGTGAATGCTGGCATTCTTCCGGAATCCCTGCTGAATTTCTTCACCACAAAATGGAGCTTTAGTACCCCTCTTGGATATGTCACTGGTACGTCTGTACGACAATGTATGCTCCTCGAACTGTTCTTACCAGATCGTGATGCCGTCTACACCCTCGCTTCCTGGTCTGCACGAAACCCTCACAATGGCACGCGGAATTTCGAACCATTTCAAGTAGATTTGTTTCTAGGGACTGATTTCGTATCGAAGAGTTTGTTGTTTTCTCAACTCAGTTCCCGGGCTTCATGAACCCTGTCGCTCACTTTCTTAGTTGCATGTTTGGCGATGCAGATGCCCACGTCCAAACGCTGATTTGAAGCTTTCTAACCAAGCTGCGCATCTCCAGCAATCCCAGCAGCTATCATTTGTTGTCCGAAGTTGCGCTGGTTATGTTGAGGCATGGCTGCTTATGGCCGCGGGTTCTTATCATATTGGTCTTCTACGTCACCACCTCAGGTAATGTTCGCCGTAACTGTTGCAATCTATGCGGTTTTAGCTGTAGTCCAACGTAGGGTTTAAGTCCCGCGAACATCAGAGACCATCCTTAATCAGTTCTTCATCTCCCTAATGCAGGAGCATACGTGGGATTCAATTATGGCACGAATGGAGACAACCTCCCATCGCCTACACAAGCCGTCGCTCTTCTCAAGAGCCTTGGCATAACCCAAGTTCGAATTTACGACACTGACCCCGCGGTGCTCGATGCATTCAAGGACTCTAACATCCAGCTCGTTATAGGCATTCTTAACAGCGAGCTCTTTCAAGTAGGCGCCACAAACACCTCCGCGGCGGAATGGGTGACCACGAAGATTGCCCCATATGCGAATTCCACCGACATATATGCCATTGCGGTAGGAAACGAGGTCCTTACTGGTTACCCGAACGCTTCGTCGCTTCTTGTTCCGGCAATGAATAATATATATTCTGCGCTGGCCGCTAGTAATCTTCAGAACATCAAGGTGTCTTCCCCTTGCTCTATGGACTTGCTTGCGGCGTCTTTCTTTCCATCTGCTGGGCAATTCAACGGCTCCCATGCCGAAATCCCAGCACTGCTCGACTTTCTGTCACGAACCTTTTCTCCGTACATGGTGAACGTGTACCCATGGAAAGCCTTCACTGCGCAACCTACCGTCATTTCGCTTGACTACGCGCTCTCCAACATGAATGGCACGAACGGAACCGTCGTGGACCCAGGTTCGAATTCCACGTACACGAGCTTGTTCGACGCGCAACTTGATGCAGTATACGCTGCCCTGGGGAGGTCCAACCACTCTGACTTGATGGTGGTCGTGAGTGAGACCGGTTGGCCCACTGCTGGAGACACTGGGGAAGCTGGTGCATCGATTCCGAACGCACAGACATACAACTCAAACTTGGTGAAGCGGGTGGTGAACAATGTGGGCACGCCGGCGAGGCCCGGCATTGTCATCAACGCTTTCTTGTATGAACTTTTCAACGAGAATCAAAACGTCGGCCCCACCTCACAGCGGAATTTCGGTGTGTTCACTAACGATTCCACTCCGTTGTACGCGCTCAACCTGGTCGGAACCAATAATACCAGTGGCTCGGGAGTTGGCCAACGCTCTTGGTGCATTGCTAAGCAGGTAAGAGAGTCCCATCCATACTTCCTCAATTCCATGAATGTGTGCAGGACATTCATGTCTTCTCTCTCTAATTTACCAGGTGCTCTGGTTCCCTGCGATGAGCGTGCTAAGGAAACACAAGTATTGAGTATTTCGTGGTTAACTTAAACCAGGGGATGTCCGAGGTTGTGTTGCAAACTGCACTAGACTTCGCCTGCGGGGCTACTGGGATGGTGGATTGCACACCTATCCAACCGAATGGCACCTGCTTCCTACCTGACACAAGATACTCCCATGCTTCCTGGGCAATGAACATGTTCTATGCGAACAGCTCAGACGGTGCTGCCTCCTGCAACTTCCAGGGCGCGGGTCGAATTACTACCTCCGACCCAAGTGAGTATTTTCGAGGATTTACACAACTGCATATTCCCTTGAACTGTTTGACCATCAGTTAAAATTGGAGGAGACCATTTCGAGTGGAAGCCGTGTTGCAACTGAGTTTTCAGGAGATCTTGGATGGGCTGAGATCGAACTAAAATGTGGTTACAAATACCTCTATTGTTTTGACTGGTACGTTCTTGTGAGCGTGTACACAAGTTCTAGTTATTCATTTTGTGATGTTTTTTCATGTGCAGGCTACGGCTCCTGTGTATATCCAGCCAGGTACATTCATTCTATTCCAAGTGTACTTACTGTGAAACTGTTGGAGAGAATTTCTGTGAATAGAGCGTCCTTTAACTGCTGTCGTCTTATAGTACACTGGTCAGTCAGGTCTACGACAGTAACTTATTGGCACCGCCGATGAATGTCCATAAGGATATAGAGCGGACGTTACATTTCGTTGACATTCACCAGACTCACACGATTGAGCCTGAAATACCCAACTGCATTGAATGAACATGACCGCTTACATCTCGATTTCATTTCTTATGATTGCAGCACATCAACGACTGTGAGTAGCGACCAAAAGTCTAAGTTAGTACTCTCCTCAGCACCACTGCTTTGTCAGCTATCCTTCCTTCTCCTTGCAATGAGCCTTTGGAGATAACGGTTTACAAGGTGTGTACATTTACGAGGTGCCCAGCAAGTATTGGACAGGTTTCCCATAGATTTTGGTGCAGTTGTAACAGAACGAAAAACCTCTAGTAAAGGATGTTAATTAGGAATTTTTGCAGTTTCTAATCCAACATATAAAGCCATGAGCTTGAACTAGTCAAGTGGATTTAGTTGTAGCCTGCAGGATGCGTCAGGAGATATCCGATTTTGTGGTAAATGAATGTAAGTAGAGCTCTGCATGTGCTTCTTCTCACCTGGGTCAAATTTTGAATCAATGACCCACTTCCCAATCTTGTTATTTTTGTTTTGTTTTGTTTTGTTTTTTTTTTTTTTTTTTTTTGTTAGTTAGTTAGTTTGTTTGGTTTGTTTTATTTCGATTTGTTTTTTGCTGCAATCCCCTGAATTGAAAGTTGACTTGAGGCGTCCGTAGCATTTAAAATGGGCTGTGAGTTTCTTCACTGTGATCTGTAATATTTAATTTTAGTGAGATGAGATGTAGTTCTTCAATGTTACTTTTCTAGCGCTGAACCACCGATGGTGCTGGAAATATGTAGACAATTTTCCAGTTTCCTGGTGTTTCTTTCAGACAATTTTTAGTGTCTTGGAACGGAATCTTTCAATTCCTACAATCTTAAGAGCAATCTGTATACAACATTTAGTCCATACTCGAAAACATTCTATTATTCACTCCTGTCCAAATATGCAGTTTGTTTGTATTTTGTACAGTCATACAGTATCAAGTAATGATCAAACCGAGTACAAACATTGGAATTTTTTCGGTCAAGTATTGTGATGCTGCACATTGTTTATCCAATTGTATTCAATTCCGGATCTCTTCCGTGTTCAGAAAACTCTGAAACAATTTACTGTTATTTGGGATCAGGTAATGTACCCATAAACAAATTAACTTTTTGGATATATTTTCTTGTATAATTTGGCAAAACAAAACATTTTATTTTGATGGAAAACTAATCAATGGTTAGTGGGAGTCTATCAGATTAGTCTTTGGATAAAAGAGCAAATTTTTTAAAATTATGTATGATCAATTTATATTTGCCCATGTTCATAATTATTTTTTCTTATTTTGTTTTGTTTTCAAGCACACTGAATCTTATATTTTTTGGTATTTTAGACATTCAACAATTCATAAGTTTAGGTACCTTTTAGAAACTTTAAGAATCTTGAATGTTTTCTTAGATATTATTATTAATTGTTGTAGTTACGTAAAAATTCATGCACTTTCTTTAGTTTTTATTTTTTTTTAAGTTCCAAAACTTTGCACAGACTATTTTCGTTCTAGTAAAACTTTTAACAAGATGATTTGATGAATATCTAACTACTAGCAAAGTTTGCTTAAAACAATAATTTATGTTCACCTACAAAACAAATATTGATTAGAACACAAAACAAATATTGATTAGAATAGAAATAAAAATCAACAGTTATTTTTTTCAATAGGATATTTTTAGATAAAAAAGAAGTTCAATTGAATTTCATTAAATCGATTTTTTATGTGCTATCGAAAGAAGTGTGTGTACTTTAGTTATATGAATCTGATGTTGATATAAAAAACATGCAAATCATCATCAAGAATTATAATTCAAACTTGAAGAAATTTTTTCATTATGTTTTTAACTATTGTGGTTATTTTTTCATTATGTTTTTAATTAATTTTGTATAATTCATGTATCTAAATAATTTAAATTCATTGAATATTAAACATATATTTAAGTAATCAAAGCATATATGATTTAACCTAAAGCAAAAAAAACCAAGTAATTTTAGCAATATACTACAAAATCAATCAAAATTAAACAATTATGATTAATAGACTTGTAAGCTATAAGGAAATTAGGTTCTAAGTTAAATTGATAAAATAATAATAAATCTTAAATCTTATTCTTGTTGGATGTTTATAAAATTTAGAATATTTTTAATCTTGTGAGGCAATATTTTGATGAAAGTTTAATATTGCTTGCTAATTATTAATCTTGATAAAACGAAATTTGTAGAAAATATTAGAATAGGTAAAAATAAGGAATTTGAGGTTGAAAAAATCTTGAGTATAGGCCATTCTAAAATAAATTATGAGACTTGTTACATTAGTGCAAATGGGATATTAATAAGTGTTTTACAAATACAAACAAAATTTTATAAGGAATAGTAACCACTTCCTACTTTACATGCTTATTGTTTATAAAATATGATAAGAAAAATATAAAGATAGATACACATGAATTGATTCTAGTGATCACAACCAACAAACAAATGAGTGTTTTTGGATAGTAATGATCCAAAACTCTATGGTTTTAACTTGTCACAAGGTCATTTCCTATGTTAAAATGCATCTTTCTCAAACACAAGTACAATCAAAGAATTGTGCAAAGCCAAAATATCTAAATACAACCCCACAATCCACATCACCTCACAATCATCCCACAACCACATCATCAATGTCACATTTAGTCTCACATTAAAATCCCAAAAAAACAGTGCTAAACGCCTGTACTTTAAGAGTAGAAAAGCAGCTCAAATTTGACATAAATTCCGAAATAAGATTTGTTTGAGATAGCTGGTGAAAATCGTTGCAAAATATTGTTCACTGAATCAGTGGTTACCTCAGGCCATCAAATAGATGTAGTGTGCTGTTCAGAGAGTACACCCTGCTACCGCATGTTCACTTGCAATGAAGGAAATAAGGAGATACGTACTGATCCGCAATCACTTATTGTAAAGTGGAAAGGACTGGAATTGTGTATGGCAGACTGAATTTGCAACAGATTTCAACATTTCATGAAGTTAAAAAAATTGGAGGCCCGTTGCTAAAGAAATTTACTCAATTTACTAAACTGTCATTCTTGTGTCCAAAATGAAGGGAGATCCTGCAGGAGCAGCCAACCCAAGCTGTCGCATGATCCGTAGCCTTCTCAACCTTCGCTCTGGTTTTCGTGGTACCCTCTCCTCCTGCTTTACAAAAGTGAAAGCCCCTTCTATAAGCACTAGAACACATTGTTTGGCTCACAAGCGCCCCATAATTTTGAGGCTCATGACCATGTCATGCTAGGGTAATCTGGTGAGGAAATGACTGAAAAGGTCAGCCAGTGCGCTAAAAATAAATTACGGATGTACCATATCGTCTAACCTGCCATAAAATACACAAGATGTACGCAAGCAACTTCAATGACAGTGCTCAGTTCAATATATAATTCCGACTTTGCTCAACAGGTTGTCTATGCAAAAGGCCAGCTATTTGTACCTCGTAAAGAACCTTAGGTTTCCGCTTTCGCGCTGCTCGTCTTTGCTCCGTACCTTCATCTTCAGGGGTCTGCTGACCGGTGCCATTTGCTTGAACTCCTGCACATGAATTGTTAATTTTTATCTCATAATGGTAATCTGAGATTTTAGGCACCAGTCATCCTTAAGTACAGCGTGATTCCTAGCACACGCAAATTCACCGAATCAAATAGCGACTTGAGCATTCATTGTGCAAAAAGCGAAATTAAGTTACTAAAACATATTTTCTTTAAATAAACAAATGCAAGAATTTGCATATTAGAAACAAATATACAGGACTAAAAATAATTAATAGCTCATGTATGCGTACCATTACTATGTGGCATCGTGGGTGTTTTGGGCTCCTCTTCTATGACAACATCAACTGCGAAGGATTTTGGAAGCTTTCCACTTCTGCGAAACTCCAAGGCCTGCACGTAAATCACAGATTACCTTGGGTTTGTATGTCAAGAGCTTCTGAGCCCAGTATACCAGATCCTATGATATAACCTTCTGGAATTCTTCCCATGATTTTGTGAACTGATGTTATACTTCTAAGTTTCGTGATTTCCTGATTTCAGAATAGGAATGACTAAATAAAGAGTTTGTTGAGCAAGCGCATGTTCTCAGAGTTTGGGGTAAAGTAAATCACGAATATCCAAACACTGACCTCTTCAATTCCCTTCTGCAGTGCTTTCTTTTTTATTTTACTCCTTTCTTGTAGCTTCTGCAAAAATACAAAATATTTTTCTGAAGGTTAGGGCAATTTCGGCCAACCATGCTACATGACTATGAGCGAACAGAAGTACCAGCTAGAGGTACGGACCAAGATAAAACACTACAAAGAGGTTAAAAAAATCATGCGAGAGATTAAGTGGTAATTCTTGCATAGGCAAGGCTTCTGATCCAACTAGCTAAACAGAGCCTTACTAAGCGAAAACTGACGAAGTTACACCAAAAATGACAGAAAAATATAATAAGCTAAAAGAAAGATGAATCGAACACGATACTTTGTGAACATACCACATCAAACTCTGATAAACCCACTTTCGGATCCACCCAACCACTGCATTTGCCATCAGAACCCAAACCGTAAATGAAACACTTTGACTGATATTCACAGCAGAGAAATATGGTTGATGTGAATACAGAAAAGAACGTTCCACATCATATCAGACTTCTGACTTTAAAATTATCATGCACCAGCACAAAGACTTGCGTTTCAGACTGTTCCAAAATTCAACGATCGGAACCTAAATCGCAAAGATGTAAATGATTTACAATATGGGGTGAGAACACAAACTAGTCGTAAGTGCCGAAGAAGCGCACTAAAACATCTGCATTGATTCGCTTATTACCACCAGTACCTGGAATAACAGCCTTCTCGTTGATGATCTATTCCATCCAATCACAATCATGTGAACATGATGAAATACGTTGACAACGCCACTCTTGTGTGAGAACCCATGAATGTGACTAAGACAAAGTCCTCATCGCAAAAAGCAATGCGTGAAAATGTCAGGGTTTGGTTTCTACAAGCTAGTTGCATCTTTATTCGTCGCCAATGAAAAATTAAGAACGACTATGCAGGGACTCAGACCTCAGCAGGCCACCAAGGGAACCTCGCGAACTTTGCCCACACAAGCTGCCCGTGCACAAACCGTGGAGGGCCCTCTCCCACAGCCATTGAAGTCCCTTCGTCAGCACCGCGGTCAGCTCCTTCATCTACAACAGGAATTTGAGGATCTACTGGTGTACGAGCGTTTGAGGCAGCAGCACCTACAAGCCCTACGCTGTGGGATTCTTCGCTGTGGGTTTCTTCACTGCGGGTCGCGACCATCACTGCACAACATCGAAGACATTTGGAAAAGGAAGTAAACTTCTACACACATGTAACGTCAACGGAGCACGGATACTGTTGAGTAGTCTTAAAAAGAAAAAATAGAAGGAAAAAGAGTGATAGCCAAAAAAAAAAAAAAAAAAAAAAAAAAGAAAAAGAAAAAGAAAGAAATACCTGAATCACTTGCTATCTCATCCACCTCTTGGACAACACCGTTCCCAATCGACCCCTCGTTCAGTGACTGGGCATCTTCTTTCCATGAGCTTCCGATATGAAATTGGCCATATTCTTCCAACGAGCCCTCGCTTTGTGACACAGCCTCTTCTTTCACTAATGAATGATCCTCAAAATCACTACTCCCTGAGTCTAATTCCTTCTCCCTCGCACTCTGATACTCATCATTACCTGTGCAGCAAACAATGTTAAGACACAATAAATCTTAGTTTTTGTTAACTGCCACAGTCATGCTTACAAAATTATAGCATTTCAATATCCATATATTAGTGTACTTGTCGAGGTCAAAACACAAAAACGCACGCTTTTAGACATTCGTTATGCTTGTTTCGGATCAGACGCCCAATTTTATCATAATCGATGGGTTCATACCTAGTGCTGTGAAAGTAAAGAGCCGCCAGTTCGAAGATCAAACTTCCACTTCATAGCCAAAACATCCGATGCCTTCAGAGATTGTGATTGATCTCCAATTCAGGATTGTAAGTATAGTTTCTTCAACACAATGGGATTGATTTGACAAATCATAAGTGCTGGAGGCGCTCCTTCAAGAGCAGAAAATGAGATTACTCAATCCTTCAAGCCTTTAATCTTCTGTCACCTGTCAGATGATTGAACCATTCCACATGCTAATGATGCGTGAGTATCTACAGATTAACTACACACAGTTTCCCACGAAAATTAATCTGAATGCCACCCTAAGAATTTAGCTGAATGCCATATAATGTGAAGCGCCATAACATGACAAAATCTAATTGGAAGGTTTCTAGATGAAACGAGCTGGCTTGGTTGTCGGGCCTTGCCATGCTCACGAAGAAAGATTAAAGGATCAAAGGCTTTCTACTAGCGAGAGGACGATTATTTGCAGGATTTGACGGATAGTGACAATGTAGGAGGTGCGTAAAAGCTGAAGAACCCTCTAAGGAAACGCGATGAATAAAGAAATTCCATAATCACTTTCTAACAAATTCACAAGAAATAGAAGACAGTCTGAAAAATAATTAAAGCCGCATTAACGTTTGCAATATTAAATCCGCATCAGTAAGTGAGATTTTCTCGCAGGAAATATTCCTACAATACGAACTTCGAAATACGCAAAATCTCAGACTAATCCAACCAACCAAACTACATATCAGAAATTCTCAAGCAGATTGAAGTATACATAGATCTCCAGGAATCAGAGCACGACTATGGATTGCAAAATGCCTCGAAGATCTATCACGTGATTTTCGTAGCTGTCCGTATCATAAGTTGGTTCTACAATCTCAGGGGTTCAAACGTTCTCTATCAACACTTCGCGCTTTCTTCCCCTCCCATCCCCTCGCGGCGCCATTACTGTTTTTGATCTTGTGAACGTAATCAGCAAACCACCAAAAATGTTGGCAAGGTGATTTAAACCTATAAATCCATAAGATCACTCGTTAGCAACTTGAGACAAGAAGTCGAGGCAAATAAGCAAAAATTGAATAAAAAGGAAATCGTTCCAGAGAAAGAGAGCCCTACAGCATATAATTTCTTACAGATCGTTGTTAGACCACAGTAACTTGGCTATTATTCAATGATTACATCTGTCTACTGAAATGAGAGATAGGGTAAGCATATATTGTGTACCAGAGATAGACATGTAACGCATCTAGCCAAGGACAATGGACCATAGTTCCCTCCTATATTACAAGATACAATAATTATACAATATTAGTCACGGACTGTTCCTAATGCAGAATTCCAACCCCTGAGTAGAACGATTTCAGAAGTGTAACAACAAACTACAATGTAAGAAGGCACTGTAGTTGAGGTGGGAGTAGCAGACAAAGGATAAAATGAGACACAAGCCTTCCACTACCAGTAGACAAGGGATGGGGACCGAAGATGCACTCGCACTCAACCCAATTTATACGGCCTTGCAACAAAGCATCTCCCGCAAAATATAACAGGAAGTCGAGAAGCTCAAGGATCCCATAGGACTTTGAAGGCTTTGAGAGAGAGAGAGAGTTGATCAGCAACAGAGAATGAGCGCGTGGAAGTAATAAATAAATAAAAATCATCAGCATTACCGCAGGCGCTGACGACTTCGCACAGAGACACACAGGACCGTTGCATACACGATTGCTTCCGAATCAAAACCCGTGCTGAGAAAGACATTAATCAAGTATCGTTAACACATGAACAATCGCTGCCTTCCCGACTACAAGAACCTAGTCTGCTCCTGAAACCTACGCTTACCAACAAATTGCGAACAAGGGCACGTTGGGAACAGCAAACACAAAAGTTCAGAATCAAGAAGGCGAAAAACACAACAAGCGGAACACCACATAGAAACACCGCACACGTGCATTTTCAATGTAAAAACACAATCAAACTCACCTGAAGCGGCTCCCAACCAGGGAAAATAGAGCCAAAACATGCCGATTCGCATCGAAAGAAAATTTCACCCACAAATTTGCAAGAGGCGACAGCAGCAGATCGATGGCTGCACCTGTAGTTGAAATGCTGCGTCCATCGATACCCCACCACCTCCACATTTAGCACTCCACAAAAACCATGGGAACAGTGTAAGGACCACAGTCTGAAACTCAAAAATTCAAAACCAACCATCAACCACAAACAAAACCAAAGCAAACCTCAGCCACAACTACAACCACGCACTACAAACCATCCCATACCTACACCATACCCCGCACATTAAGAGCCATCCACGAGAAGGACTCCGCAAACAAAACAAATAAACAAACAAACAAACAGATACCCTCAAGAGACTCAAAAATCCTAAACCTCAAAAAAAAGCCCCCCAAAAAACAGTTACAGCTCTCTTTCCCTCAACCCACAATTCAAATATCCCAGACACAACGAACTCACGCGATCGCAGGCATGACCACCAATTAGCTCGTAACCCAAACAAACAAAAAGTCCCCAGCTCACGCATCGATAGCAAGAATCCGCCGAAGCGTGAATTGCTTTGTTTGCCAAGTTGGCTTTCACTTGGACCTGGAACGGTGCTGGGCTGCTACCACCCGCAAACTGGTGCATTCATTCATTCATTTATTCAGGTGCATGAAAGAAAACGGAACAAACTGGGTGGTGCGAGTGCGGGACGGGGATGGAAAATTGGCGTGCGGAGGAGCTGCACCTGGGAATTGGCTGCACCCAATGCCTCCATCGCCATGAAGCAACAACAACAACAGATTTCAAAGGGGCACAGAGGGTGAGAGGGAGAGCCACCACGACGATGACGAAGACGACGACGACGACGAAGGCCTGAAACAGAGTTCTTGAAAAGTAGAGCTGAACAAGCAGTAGATCCCCAGTTCACATTTGCCCTGTTCTTATTGGTGCAGAAAACCATTCAAATGCAAAGGAAATACATACTACATGTTACTTTAAAATATATACTACGTAATACTTTGATGTGGATTCTTTTTTTGTGAATTTTAGCTTGTGAGAACCATCCAATTTTAGTTATACAATGATAATAATCATTATTATTTATATGTGTGAATAAATAAATTTGTGATTTTGCGAAACGGAAAAGATTCGCAGCCTGTTCCACGTCAATAGTCATCCATTTATTGTGAATCTTTGATCGGACACAGTCAAGTCTAGCTGTAGAAATGCAACAAATCTCAAACACAGGACTAAGCAACAATTTTGCCAATTCTTGTATGTCAACAATTCCTACGATGTGCCTCTATGGAGAAAGCTGAAATACTTAGAATTCGTGACCTCGAAATAACAACACGCAGGAGTTCAATGAGCATCATGTATACACAACTGCCAAAAACTATAAATAATGATATAAGCTTCTATGTTACGTTTGTTTTTACATGCGTATTGACGCCCATATGATAATGAGAAGACGAAGTGTTACCAGGGCCTTTCCAGACTGAGAGTTACACTGGCAGTCGGAAAAAATGAAGGATTTCGAGAAAGAAAAGGAAAGCGTTCAATCCCTCCTGGAAAGTAATGAATCAATAAGTTCGAGAAACTAAATCTTTTAGAAATTCCAGAGGCACCTGTGCTGGCTCTGCGAAGGTGGTCGACCTAGCAGTACATTAATCCTAATGTTCCAAACACCAACCCTTCACGCACCAGCGCTATAGCCAGTTTGAAACGCATGTTTATTCATCTCACACAAACTTCACAGCTCCAAGATCCAATGACTGCTATCGGCCATGTCAACACCCATCAAGCCGAAGAATGAATAGCGACAACTTCGCTCATATACAGCTTCTCCTGGACTTGGGAGACAGCCAGTCGAGAGCATCTGCATTCGAAGATGACCTGCGCCCCATGAACTCTCTACCTCTAGAACTGTGAAAGCAGCTGACACGGTCTAGAATGTGGTCACGCAATGACGACGCAGGACCAAGCATGATCGAAGAAGAGCACTCTCGCCTTTTCAACCCTCTTGAAAACCGAATTCTCAAGCCCTGAGGAGATGAACCACTCTCAGGATGACTCATACACGAGTACAACATTCACGAGTTGAAATTGGGTACAACTAATCGAAGACACACTCCACCAACTCTGTCAGCAGCAATAAGTTGGCTTTGTGGATTGATTGGTTGGATTTAACATAATTTTCTGTGCTTTATACATCGTCTGTTCTCTAGTTTCTTGTACTTAATCCTGACGTTCTCAATTTTGTATTCTGTTCTATGCTGCAGGTTGTACATTTTCGAACATCACGTGACATCGTACGGAGGCACGTCGCTATCGCAGTAGCCAAGACAGTGGAGGTTCAGGATCTCTCACTGGACGAGCTCCGCAAAAAACAACTCCGTTATCGAGGAAAATAAGTTCACTTGCGTGGGTCAAATGGTTCCACACGAGCTAACCCGGTCGCCAAGACCATGAAATTATGGACGGGTAAACTAGGAATAAAATGCTGTTACATGAAATTGGATTTGTAACAATGATGTGCAAGTTTACTGCACCTCTGAACAGATTCAAGAGAGCTCTCCTGTGGTTACAGGAATAACAGTTTTGCACAATCCTATGACGGAGTCTATTACTATTCGAGGAGTACACTATCCATATGACTTATGCTTACGTTTATGTCACGCACTATCTGATGAAGACAGTGCAGTGAAAGATATAGCCATTTCAACTGCTTGAGTACGAATTCAAGTATTGTGATGCATATGTAGTCTCAATCCCCACATCCTAAATTGAACGCAAGTCTGCCATTCTGATATGTATGCATCAGCTTTATCGACAATGAAACTGTTCATGTTTATACTGAATCATAAAAACTGAATTCAGAAGCAAATCACATAATAGAGTACAAGCAGTTACATCAGAGGCCGTCAATGTCAGTTAATTCTCATGAGAACACCAAAACTAATAAGCTTAACTCGTGACTTCAATCCCCTCTTGAATAGACTTGGACTCAGGCTTTGCAAGTTAGCATACCATGCAGCGTAATCCTCAGCCCAAGTTCATGCCATGCATCACATTTGCACAAGAAATGCACCAAAAATGAATCCCAAACGCTTTTTTGTTTCCACAAATCACATTCAGGATGTGCATTCCACAGGGATTATTGATTAATCAACAGTGACTGCAACCCAATGTAACAGAGCACGCGCCATCAAACGAATCTTCACAAAATCTACATCCTTGTGTCTCAGCTCAGCGAATTGTGTCAGATAATAACTGATCACTTGCTAATTTGTAGTCACAGGATTGCAGAACACTCCCTTGCCCGGGACATCTTCGTAAAACCAATGGCCCATTCAAGAGTGATTCACAACTAATCCTGTTCAAGTGAGTGCTACAACCTCATACTTATCAGATGTTCTTCTAGATGAATATAATAAATATATTTGTACCTAGTATGAAGGATTGAGTCAGTACAACTGCAACATTTCTCTTCTACACCCCTTGCACAATCATTCAAAGTCATTGCTTCCATTTGTGTACATAATCCTTTGGTAGCCAAACATGTTCTCAAGATTTTTGCCTTTCAAAGTTAACTAGCCATTGATAAGTTATTCTTGAATCAATTTTTTTTAGCAAATCTCTCAATTCCCAAAGATTCACTTGTTTGATTGGAATACCTTCTTTTTCTAACACATTTGACAACACATTTGGAATAATATAAGAAACACCTTTAAATAGAGACTTCTCTAAATTAAGCATCATATAGCCAAGACTTGCCACCCTATATGCACTCATTTTCAATAGTATGGTGATCTCTAATCCTTAAACCACATATAGACAAGCCCTATGCAAAGTTTTATATTCTAAATATAAAGCAACACCTTTTGTTCTTCAATCATATGTATCCTTTCCTTGTGTTTACACATTACAAGCAATTGTACCATTTTCAATTCTAGTATCAAACTACTAATCAACCATTTTCAATTCTAGTATCAAACTACTAATCAACCATTTTCTCATTCCTTCATCCTTAGTTGTGACATATACATATGAAGGCACTTGATTGAGGTATTCCTTGTATATTCTAAGATCTGCATAGAGACTTTAGTCAATTGCACTACATTATCAATATAATCATCAATATTTTTATTGCATATTATATGGTTAATATATTCTACTAGAATTCCTATGTTGTAATTTTATTGTAAAGATCACTAGATCCTTTCCAAACAAAAAGTGAGATGCCAAGAAGGAATAAATATAAAAAGTAATAAACATATGCAATAAAATTTTATTCTTACATATATATAATATACAATAAAGTTTATACATATTAAAATTTTTAACCTTTATATATAATTCATTTAACAATAACAATAGAAATAATTAAAAAATAAGTAATAAAACAAATAATGATTACCTTTCTTCAAATTTTCTTTTACAAAAAGAATCTACTCAAATAATATGAATAACCTTCAAGTATATATATATATATATATATATAGTAAAATAGGATACTGTTTATCCATGTTTGTACGTATACACCTGAAATTACGTTTTGGCAGAATAGACAATAAAACATAAAGTTTTGCCAAACTAGAACAATAATAAGTTACAATCTAATAAGGGATCATTGTTTTAGTAATCACCAAGGTAACACAATCTAATCTCCTACATTTTAACACACCTTCGACGTAAAAAGTTGTTCTACCTTTGCCTTGACATTAATAAAATTCGTGATCTTTCTACCCCATGTTTTGTTGAATTGTCTGTTAACGCTCCATTCAGATAACCAATAAACTCGTAAATACAATATTCCGACTCCATTCGGAATTCAAAATCTATTTTTGAAGTAATGGTAAACACGATTATGATTTTTAAAATCGTTCTCCTAGGTCTGGTCGAAGTAATAAGAGTGCCCAGGCATAAAAGTGTGAAACATTCGTCACATCTACTCCTAGGAAATCATTGAGGTCACTGCTTTCAAGAATTATTTTGAATTCTCTAGTGACCAAAACTTCCAGAGTGAAATGTAGGTTCAGGTGTGGTGTATGGACATCGGTGAAACATTGGCTAATATTCCCCTTTGAGTAATTTAACGTCGCCACTACTTCGAAGCGCCATTTGGGGGCTCCAGTTGATCAGTGGACATGGGCCATCAGGTGCTGTTTGTGCACGACCTCCTTTAGCGCATCGAGGACATCTCTTGCCGTGAGTGACCAATAGACAGTGTAAGTCGTACTTGACCTCGTCAGGAACTCTGCTGTTCATGTGAAGGTATGTTTTCTCCCTGTCTGCGCTGGCAGGAACCCAACCCAACATCTTGGACAATCTGAATACCTGTGATCAAGCAAAATGAAAGTCATGCTATTGGACTGTGTTGAATACATTCCCTAACGGAGAATCATTGACAAGCAATCAAGTGGGTGCTTACATGAGTATCCACAGGAAATTCGTTCTGCTCCAAATGGAACATCAACACACAGGCTACCTGCAACATCACTCAACTCTTGTCAGCAGAAATGGTTGGAAGATGATTGACTCCATCGTTGACTGTACATTGATTCCAATGTCATACTGTTGCAACAGCATCTTCATATTTGGGTTTTCAATGAACACACAAAACTGTTGACGACAACCCTTAAAAACGCACCACGCACTGAACTGAAGCATCCTGATAGCTCCTGTGCCGTTTGATAATTAGATGCCTGAGCTCAAACAATCCAAGGAGTGCATCTAACTAATGCATAGGGCAGGCACACTGTAGGATTGTTGCTCTGACCGTCTTAGGCCCGACGCCCTTGAAACGAGAAAGTTCTGCTTTGATCTGATCAACGTTCATGCTTCGGACGTACTCCAGGCAAATCGAACCGCGCTCTGTGAATATAGTGTCCAATATGTTGATTATTCGTTTTGCTTTGGTCTCCGCTAAACCTCCACATCGGATTGCATCCTCAACCTTTTTTGGATCTGCTGCGTGAACCTGATACGCAACGCTTGCATTCATCCCCGTTAATACAGTTCTTACACGTGCCATTTCGTGTACACATCCAGTTTTTGTTCATCATGTAGTGAAAAACCTCAATGCTGACGCAAAGAAAAATCAATGACATGAAAGGCTCTTTCCAGAGAGGAGCGCACCTCTTCCCAAGTTGGAAATGCTTGCTTCAGAGAAGCAAATGCTTTTCTAGAATTGTTATCAGTAGTGTTCTGGGATAAGATTGTCCCCACCAAGGAATCTAGCACTGTGCGCCGCACTGATGGGCATCCTGTCAAAGTTCTGTCCTCATGTTCATCCTCTCTTTTTTGTTCCTCCACCTCAGAAACTACAAGTGCTCCGGCTGTATCTGCAGCTGTGACCTCTTCAGAATGATATTCCAAGGCAAGAACCTGCACGTGAATCTCATCGGTATTCATCAGATAACTGTCGGAATACATTCAAAGAATATAAAAGAAGACAACTTGAACTTTACTACGCTGACAAACCATAAATGAGTCAGCATTGGTTCTTGGTCACAGTAACACAAAGCGGATATGAAAATTCCTTCGTTTCTTCGATAAGGTTCTGACTGAACACATGCTATCAAAGCACAATCCCATAAAAATCCCACTTTTCCACCCTGTTTAATAGTGTCAACGAAACATTTGAATTTACAAGCACTGACCTGCAGTGGATCGATCGTCGGACACGATTTACCGCGCGCATATGAACCTGTCCCGTGAAGCTGACTCAAGCGGTTCCTCACCTCGTAACACTCCTCAGGGTAAGGTCTAGCGAAATCCGGATAAGGACTACCTGATGTCACTGCCAGTTCCACTGCTCCCACATGCAAAAATGATTGGGCCATGACAAGAACGTAAGACTAGGGCGTCAACCGCAAGGCCTAGATTCGTTTAAGGATCGGACATGCAGTCGGAACGAGTGTGTTATCATTAATTTCATACAAAACATCTCGACGCTTGAATTCCATGGATGAAGATTCAGGCGATAAAACACTGTTGCTGCAAACCCTCGAGAGCATTAGAAATATGTGGACCAACAACTCATATGTATCCATTGACCTATACACTACAACGCTCCATTTGTAATCTTAACTAAACTTCGAAAGACGTAGTGGAAGTCGAATAACAAGTGATTCTCGGGACCTTCGAATAAGTTACGTTCGAAGTCCAAAGCTAATGCCTCCAAGACCCTCGCACGAACTCTTAATTGTTTCCTAACAATTACTAATAATTTACTGGGCTTCATGGGTCTGAGGTAGGTGGTGGGAAGAAGGGCTCTGCCTCCGTGTAATTGGCTTTTATGGACACAGTTTCTCTGATAAATGCAATATCATTCTGATTGAAAGGTTGGGCAATGAATCAGCTTACCTGCTTGACCACTGAGATTAGATGATGGCACTATTGCCAACGAAGTGATCTCTTTGCTTGTTTCAACTTTGTCGGCAGAGCAAGTTTCTTCTTTCGCCGTCACCAAAGTAGCTGCATCTGAGCTATCCCTCTTCATTTCCTTATTGTTACCCGGACAGACATTTGACCCATCCAATGGTGTTCCCTCAGTTTTGAGCTTCTTCTTTCTTGCTCTTGAAACATAAATCTTTATATCGTCCGTCGCTTCCACATCTTCACTTTTCACCTTCCTAGTTTGTCGTAGACCCGGCAAATGTGGTGGCTCAGGTCCAATGTTTTTGTCTACTTGACATACTTCCTGCTTAACCACTTTGAATGAACCCGTAATCTTATCCAATTTCCTAGGTGGAGCCTGATCAACAAACTTTGTGCGGGATACTGTCTCCTTTTTACGGCCAATTTTACAATTTCTCAAAGAACTAGACGATAAGGAATCTTTCACCCCTTGAGCACGTGCTTCCTGGAGCGATACGCAGGGTTCCACCTTCACAGTCGTCGGGAGCAACAATTTCTTCGAGACATCACATGGAGCGGCAAGCTTTTGAGACACAAGTGGAGCTAACCGAGAACTCCGACGACACGCGGCCATTTCACATATATGCAATGTGATATCTCTCACACTTGAATCTTTCTACCACCACTCTCACCCCTTTCTCTCCCTTCCGATAATAAAACCTTCACACACTCACGCACTCTTCACCATCTCACTTACGAAATGCAATGCACCGGCACCATCTAAAATCCACCACATGTTCAACCACGACACACCTGCCACCGCTTCTAAACACCCGTCCCAAAGGATCCGAAAGCGAAGTTGAGCTAAACAGAGAAAAGGAGCGATTAGCAAATGAGCAGCCAACCCTAACGAAGCGCTAAACAAAGGTCGAAAGAAGAGAAGGATCGCGTTCAAAAGACTTAAATTCGAGAACGGGAATCGTTCGGGAGATTGTTAGAGGAGAAGAGTGGCGGCGGTTCTGCAATAGTAACGAAACGAATAGCGGAACTGCGGCCACGGAAGACACCAGCTCCGTGGCCACAGTTGTGGACGCCATCGCCACAGCCCGAGGACATTTACCTGCACTCAGTCGCGTGGCAAGCGCTGAAGGCATCGCCGCCTCCGCCACTTCCATCCTCCCTTGGACAGAATCGACGAATGGTTCCTCCCTCCGATACTTTCATCTTCTCATCGACAGAAACGATGTATGATTTCTGCCTCAGAGACTTTCATCCTCACTGACAGACTCTATGAATTTTTAGTGTGTTCAATGTCACATATTTTGATGAGGTGATAGTTGTTGGTTTTGGTTTTAGTTTTGGTTATATGTTGAAGATATTTACATTGTTCCTTGATTGGTTTGAACTTCCATTGGAAGGTGATGATTTTGACCAATGCTTGAATAGTCATAATATATGTTTGATGGATTATTTGTATCAACAAGATGTGCAAATCTAACCCCCAGCATATTTCTTCCAGCTTAGTTGTTATAGTCTTTTGAAGAAGATTTTAAATAAATGATCTTATTGGATCTTCTATAATAGTATATATATATATATATATATATATATAATATACAATGAAATTCTTTATAATTAAAAAATATTATTCCATTCTTAATCCACCATTGATTTACTTGATATAACTTTCCATAGATAGAAGGTGTGATGTTATTCCTTTGCTTTCAATAATAGTATGTATAAATAATATATACAATGAAATTCTTAATCCACCATTGATTTACTAGATATAACTTTTTGTAGATAGAAGATGTGATGTTATTCTTTTGATTTCAAAGAAAACTAAGATATAATTTTCTTAAATGATAACATGGCTTATAATGTTAAAATTAGTTTATTTATTTATTTTTATATTAAGTCGAAGTAGAAATTGTAAAAAAAATTGGATTGTGTGTTTTACTTTTTTATAATTTGTATACTACAATTTGGAGGTTTGAATTTTTGATTCATGGTATTTAGGCTCTATAATTGAATTTTGGTTATAATGAAGTAAAATATTTATTTACTAATGGCATTCATAGTATTTATCATCTCATTTTTTAATATATTATTTTTTTATCTTACATCATTTTAAAATTCTTCTAATTTAATCTCATTGAAGGTCTTATTTAGAATTTAATCATGTAAAGTTTATATAGCTAAAGGCATTAAATTTTTAATTAACAATAGAAAGGTAGAAGATTGTGAGTAGCTTAAAGCTAGATGTTAATAGAATTTAATAGGCTAATATTATAAATATATATAAAAAATTGATTCTTTTATTTCTCTAAATATATAAATTTTTTATTTATTAAATTTTTAATCAATACTTTATACTTTGAAAGCAACTTAAATGACTCTTTCTAAATCCTTAGATTTCTAACTTGATATATCTTAAATTATAGAAGGCATGACAAAACCTTGGATAAAGTATTGCTTTATAGTATTTATATTTAAAAGATTACCAACTTATTGGTTGCATACTATACAAAATCACCTCACATAAGATATAATATATTTAAAGAACCTTATCTAATATTTTTCAAAGCTAAAAAAACTTATTGTAGCTAATTAAGAGTTTAAATTTTACAAAAAAAGATTGCTAGTAGTTGTTTTGATACAACAAATGATCCTTAAATATAGATTTATAGAATTCATATATAAAATCTATTGAAATTATTTGAAACTATATCAAGTAATATCTATGGTTGGTCACTAAACTAATGATTAATACTTCTATAAATAATTTTATATGAGCTATTCGATCTTCATTGATAAATCTATTAAATCTTAAGAGATTTGATATTAATGATTTTTATAATTTCAAAAGTAATATAATAGATAGTCCTTTAGGTAACATCTCCAAATCAATTTAGTGTCACGGATATATGCATGTAAGCCAATAATTAATTATATAAATAAGTAGAAATAAATAGAAGTAGATAAAAATAAATTAATTCTATAATATCTTCTATGAAAGCTTCCTAGAAGCTTCATAAATACTACTTTGACTTTATAGATATCTTTAATTGACTTTGTGGATTAGAAACGTTGTCAACAAGTTGGCCATGTGCCATACATGTTGTTAGCTTGAAGACCAAGCTAATTATGTGGCCTACACATAAAAAAACTTGCCTTGTAAGTCAAGGCATGTGTCCTACAAAGTCAACACATATTGGAGGTCCTATAGAACATTTCTATGTAGCCCCTAGTTAGATAGTATATATAGAGACAAGAATGAAGCCCTCTTCACTTTTGTCAATTCTTTTCTTGTTTCTAGTCTAGTTTCAAGAGTCTAAAGTTTTCTTGTCATTTGGCAATAAGCCTTTTCAGTTTTTTTTTAATATACATACTTCCTTATTTCTATTTTATCATTTTTTCTTTGACACGAATTTCATTGATTTATGAATCATCTTTTAGTTCATATCGTGAATAGATTAATAAGAGTATACTTCGAGTATCATAGCTTTGTCTTGTCTTGATTAAGAGTGGATTATCCTTTTCTCATGATAAGACATAAGTATATTAGAAGTTGTAGATTATCCTCTTCTAAACTGATATTATTTTTAGTATTTTCTTTATCATGAAGTCCTTTCTTTTATTTGTCTTGAATGGTATTTGATATTTTTTTGAGTATTATTATGATAGAGCTTGTTGAAATGAAGAATGCAATGGCACAAATACAAAAGCAATTGAGAGAGTTGATGCTTGCGATGCATTAACTTAGTTTACCACCATAAGGATCAACAAGAATGGCAAGAAGTGAGGATATAGAGATGATTAGAGCTGCTTCAATATCTACACCAAATCATATCCATTTATCCATGGTGGAACATCCTTCAAGTGTTAGAGAACCAAGAATTGCCCTATCCGAGAAGTTTGATGGTATAAGATTCAAATTTTGAAGATTTATCAATAAAGTACAATTTGTGATTGAACTTCAACCTCAAAGCAATCCAACTATAGGATCACAAGTTAGATTCATTGGCACACTTCTTTCAAGTTCAGCACTATCGTGGTTTTGATCTTTTCTTGAATGATAAGATTCAATATTAAATAATTTGGAAGCATTTTTGGTGGAATTTTGGTCCATGTATGAAAAACATGATGGAACTCATATTACAACCAACAAGATCCATATTTTACAACAAGGCAATCAATCCATAAGATTATATATTTCACAGTTTTGATAACTTGCAACTGATATCAAATGGAATGATGCTACACTTATTAGTCAATTTCTCTATGGATTACAATATGAAGTAAAAAAATTGATGCTCAACTTATTCAATCCTCAAACATTGAGTCAAGCAATTGACTTTGCTGTGAAATACGACAATCGACTTTTTGAATTTCAATCTGAGAGTAGTATAAATGGACCTCAACGTTCCTACAATTCAATGGCAATACCAACATCTCTTCAACACATACATTTAGAAATAAAAGATATAAAAATTGATGCGGTACATTTTAAACCTCTTATCGAGCAAAAAAAGACTTATTATTGTCAAAAAAGATTGTGCTTATATTGTAGAGAATCTAAACACACTACTCAACATTATCCAAAGAAATGAAAAAATCACAAAATGAGGAGCACATCTATCAAAGAAGACAATGTGTCAAAAAATGAATTTGTCCAAAAACAATAGGGACCGAGTGGCTGAAATCTTATACAACTTTTAATGAAGGTCCTATCTTCTCCTCAAAACCCTCTTCTTATTTTATAGTAGATGTGCGTTTTGGACCTAATAATTATAAAGCATCTCCCTTGATAGATTCAAGAGCCTTAGCTTGTTTCTTAGATATAGAATTTGTCAAAAGTCATAAAATACTATTAGTACAAAAAACCAAACCTATTCATGTAGAAGTCATAGATAGTCATCCATTGTCTTCTACAAATGTTACTCATGAAATACTTCCTATAGATGTAGCAATAAATAGTCATAGTAGTTATATAATCTTTAATAAAATTAGATCTCCCTGTAATCTAGTCATTTTAGGTTTATCATTGTTAGAAAAGTATAATCCTTGCATAGATTAGATTTTTCATATCCTTGACTTCTCTAAAAGCATAATTAAGAGTAAAATTAATCCAATAGAAAGTTATAAGTCTACTCCAATTAAACCTATGTTTATAGGTGCAAGAGCTTTCTTGTATGTTGTAAAAGAAGGATCATCTTGTATTATTTACGCAACACCTATTTCTAATAATGTGAAGACTTTAAGTGGCATTTCCAGCTAATATCAAGAATTTTAAGATATATTTGAGAAAAAGAATGCAGATACTCTTCCAAAATATTGTTCCTATGATTACTCAATTGACCTTCAACAAGGAGCACAACTACCATTTGGACCAATTTATAGTTTATTACAAAATGAATTATCTGAACTCAAGGAATATATTGAAGAGAATCTTCCTAAGAATTTCATACCCCATTCCAAATCACCAGTAAGAGCTTCAATCTTATTTGTAAAGAAGAAAAATGAATCATTACGGATGTGTGTTGATTATCAAGGATTCAAGAAGATCACCATCAAGAATAGATATCCTCTATCTTTGATATTCAAAATTTTTGATCAACTGAATCAAGCTAAGATCTATACAAAAATAGATCTATAGAGAGCATACAATCTAGTATGTATTAAAGAAAGAGATGAATGGAAGATTATATTTTGAACTAAGTATGGAAATTTTGAATACAACGTCATACTTTTAAGACTTACAAATATACCAACAACTTTTTAACATCTAATGAATGATATTTTTCAAGAGATTTTAGACAATTTTGTCATTTTTTATGTGGATGATATTTTGATCTACTCTAAGAACACAGAAGAATATGAACTTCATGTTCATTATGTATTACAAAAATTAAGAGATATAGGACTCTATGCCAAGATAAAAAAGTGTATATTTCATGCTACTCAAGTGGACTTCTTAGGATACATCATTTCAAATGATGGACTTATGATGAATCGTAAGAAAGTTCAAACAATTATGGATTGAAAGATTCTAAAAATGATAAGAAATGTCTAATGCTTTTTGAGCTTTGCCAACTATTATTGGATCTTTATCAAAGACTCCTC